AAATGCTTTTTCTAAAGAAATCTTAAGTGCCCTGTCTAAATAGATCTTAAGTGCTCTGTCTAAAGAAATCTCAAGTACTCTGTCTAAAGAGATCTTAAGGGCTTTTTCTAAAGAAATCTTAAGTGCTCTATCTAACGAAATCTTAAGTGCCCTGTCTAAAGAGATCTTAAGTGCTCTGTCTAAAGAAATCTCAAGTACTCTGTCTAAAGAGATCTTAAGGGCTTTTTCTAAAGAAATCTTAAGTGCTCTGTCTAACGAAATCTTAAGTGCCCTGTCTAAAGAGATCTTAAGTGCTCTGCCTAAAAGAAATCTTAAGTGCTCTGCCTAAAGACATCTTAAGTCCTCTGTCTAAAGAGATCTTAAGTGCTCTGTCTAGTTCACAGCGATACTATGATGGTACATAATCAAATATTATTTTCGTAAACGTGTTTCTTTATCACAAGGTAAATTAATTTGATTAATTTAAAGGATTTTTTACTTAAATATTGCAATTGTATTTTCCAAAGTATTTTTTTTTCTTGTTTCTACATTTGAAGATCAGCAGTTGCCTTCGTTGATCGGAGTTAGTAGCGCCCTCCAGCGGAATATATTGTCTCAAAATAAAAAATCGACCAATTTGAATAATTCAAAGATCACATCCTCTCGAGAAATTAGCAAATTGGAGAAACTTCTTTCAGAGGTGAGATCTTTTTTTTTTTTTACTTTAAGTAGAACATAGATACTTACTTACAATTTTCACAAGTTTGAATTTACTTCTGTGCAATGTATATAACAACTTTAATTGTGTTTTCTTTTCATTTTAGACAAACTTTTTATAATCTAAATGCAGCAATATTTCCCACCTTTTCTTCAACTTCTGTCCCTAATCTTCTTTGAACTTACTTTAAGAATCCTAGGTTAATGCTACAAATATCGTCCTAAAACGAGTGTTCTACAAAAACGCCCCTCGTGGCTTACAACGGTATAAATAAAGTTTCGATACCCGCTGTGAACAAAGCAGAGATAGCCCATTTTGTAGCTTTGCGCTTAACAAGAACTAAACAATTGAAACCTACACAAACGTTCTGAAGGACGATTTCTCACCAGAAAGCTAGTTTTGATCATGGATTTTAAACCATTAACGTGATTGTCACCATACGTGTGAGTATTATATCATATATTTATCCGTTCGTTTTTTGTGCGACTCATCTGACATACTTGGCTAATGCTCCTAGGAACACACTTCAGTATTCGTAATGGTCGATATTTAAACTTATCAGCACCACTTTGAAGAAAGAAGTTCTCAGAGCTAAGCCTTTAATGCTATGAAGCTAACCCTTGTCGATAATGAAGTTTAAATGTCATTGTGTCACTGTTAATATTTGATGAAC